TTCGGACTTCTACCTACAAGTGGGAATTTCGGCCTGATAATTGTAGTACTCTAAGAAAACCACTACTTAGACGCTACACACACTCCTTTCGAAGGACGAGTTAGGATGTACATTTCTTACATGCCGGTTCGCCTGGAAGTCATCCCATGAATCGCGTTCCCCACGTCGCAGATTATCGCGGAGAATTGGGTGAATGTAGTGAAAATAATATATCCGGTCCCGCCCAGTCATTTAACGAAGGCTCTAGTCCATAATAAGGTGGCAGTTGTAGGTAGGATGGTATTGAAAAATGGTTATATCATGATAATTTTTGAAAGTTTAATAAGCAACTGATTTGTTAAATTAGCGAGTAAAACGCCCGAATATATAAAGGCTGCTGGTTACCCCGTCAGGCGACTAGCCTGTATCTAGATTCGCCGAGTTCGATTTCGATAAAGATTCAGACTAATTCGGAGAGATAGAAGGGCAATTTATTTTGCATTGTTTATCTTAACAAAATTGGCTGTGAACGAACAAATGATGTAATATAGTGCTGTAGGCTGTGGCCGCTTAGGTTTAATTTCTAGCAAGGTAGAGAGGGTGGACATATTTAAAACAAAAGGTGCAGGAAAAGGCTTGATAGTCAAATGCCTACTTTGGCTTCTATCTTTGAAACACGGACCGCCCTGTCGTTGCGCAACTCATCAAAAAGGTCCTCGCTGCAGACATTGTCGATTTCTGCCATAACATCGAAGTCCGGGTCATCAAATTCGTCGGTATTCCAACGTTCGCCATGAGGTCGAAAGACTGGAGTGGCGAGAAAATTGTCAGGGCTAGCAAGCCCGCCAAAGTTTGATTGGCCGAGGAAAATATTGGATTCTCCTGGCTGTAGAGTAGGTCAGAGAGCAGTGTTTTTTAGGATATGTGACGTCGTCTAGGTTAGAAGTTGGAAGGTAGTGTCCAAAGGCAAAACATAAAAAGAACAAGAGCTCGAAAATGTTAAGAACAGAGCCTAACTATTTATAAAGACCGGGTAGTTAAAAGACTTTCACAATATCGACAGTGTGAATTGCTTAACCCCCACTAGGCCAAAATGAACACTTTTAGTAGATAGGCATACACCGATCAGTTACAGGGCACCCCCGCCTTGGTTTTTAAAGTCCTTGCGTGTTCATGATCCCCCGAACGTTGCCACATGGCTAATTGTGATGTTACTAGGTTTCAGTAACATTTTTATTATTTAAGGACATTTTACCGTCAAGACAGGCACTTCCAGGAAGGCCTTTTCTGGCTTATTAGCTGTCGTCAGCTGGAGGTACCCTACTCCAGTGTAGCAGCGGAAATTGCCGCCACACTCGAATTTCGAACGCGCAACCCTGTTAGTTAGAGGTCAATGCCCGGTCAAAAACCGGCAAGACGTCGGGCCCGTAGCCTAGTGGTTAAGGTATTGCTCTAAATAACAGGGTCGCGGGTTCG